GCACCACTGAAGAAGTGCAGCTGTGGTCCTGGAACTGGTCGACCAACAGGAAGCTTCCCCTTGTCTTCCAGGATGCTGTTTGCCGACACATTCCAGTCCTATTGGTCAACACTTGGAGCAGATTCCAAAATGTTTGGTGAAGATCATGGGGGTGATGAAAGATTATGTTAATAGTGTTTAAAAACACAGCATCCATGTGTGTCAGACAATATCTCTGGACCTCACTCAGCTGTTTTGAAGTTTTTAAAACATCGATAAAAATATTAAAAATGAAAAGCCACTTAAATGACAAAAAAAAGAAAAGAAAAGAATCTGATGGTTGGGGGTCACCATAACGTGAGGAACTGTATGAAAGGGGCGTGGCATTAGGAAGATTGAGAACCAGTGGACTAGAGGAAAAGGAGAAGGAGTTATTGCTTAAGGGCACTGGGTGATGTAACTTTTTTGAATATTTACAGTTTCATAACACGATGAATTATAATTTAAGTCTCTGCATTATACACCTAAAAATGACTGAAATGGCAAAATTTTTATTATGTGTATTTTATCAAAGGTTAAAAACAACAACATGTTCACCCTCTACAGAAAATGAGATCGGCTCTGCCAGGCCAGTGTGAGAAGTTCTGCTGATCTGCTCCTGAGTAAAAACTGACACAAAGTCTTTTTTTTAAATCTCAAACATATAAAAACTCTAGAAAGTATCCTATGTATACGGATGAATGTATGGATTGTGATAAGAGATGTAAGTGCCCCCAATAAAAGTATTTAATAAAACTAAATTTTAAAATAAAATAAAGAAATACCTATTGAAGAAATGATACAGAAATTCTATAACTTGAAAGACCTGTGGTAGTTGAACCAAAACGGTACCTTCTTTACCTCTTCTCAGATTTCATACCAGAGTGAGTTGACTTAAGCTCATTTTCCACTTTGCACCCAGTTGAAGCACTTTCTTGTGGAGATTGTGGTGAAACGCAATTGAGAAGATATTCATGGGTATAACCTAAGTGTAAATCATTAGTTTCCAAAAGAGAACTAGGGAATAAAACAGCTTGGAGGAGTCTTCCTGGAGTTAGAATATTAAATAATTTCTTCAAAGTAACCATAATTTCATTTGTAGAACAATTGTTGAAAATAAATTAAAACTGAGCATTCAGCTGACAGGATAAGAAAAGGGAAAGAGGATAGGAAAGGAAGAAGGAAAGAAAGAGACCCAAATGAAACCACTGATGGCGTAGTGGTCACATGCTGGGCTGCTACCCACATGGTCAGCAGTTTAAAACCACCAGCCCCTCATCAGGGCAAACAAGAAGTTTTCTACACCTATAAAGAGTTATAATCTCAGCAACAAAAGGGCAATTCTACCCTGCTCTACAGAGCGGCTATGAGTCAGAATTGACTCGATGGCAATGAGGGTTTTTTTTGTTTTGTTTTGTTTTGTTTGGGGCTGGGCATCATTAAAATAAACCCACGGGCATCATTAAAATAAACCAATCAGTCACTAAACAAATAAACAATCAAATAATAACAAATCTGGGAATTAGAGAAAGGTAATATCTGGATTTTCTTTTAATTCCATATTTCCACAAAAACTTTGAAGCCCTAAAACATACAGATTTGAACACAAAATTATGAGACAGGAAAATAAAGGGGAAGTATAATCCACACACCAAGAAAAAAAGCAAGCAATAGACACTACTATATGAGAGATGTCAGATTTTTCAGAAGACTTCAAAGTAGTCATCCTAAACATGTTCACATAATGAAAGGAAGCCATGATTAAGGAAAAAAATGCAGATATGATGGCAAAGAATGGTCAACAGAGAATATCAATAAACACTTCTGCTAAAAATGACTGCTCACATACTTTGGAGCTACATAGAGAAGGACCAAATAGTCTCAACTTAGGATGCTAGAGCCAAAATCGGAGACCAGAAGAACTAGATGGCACTTGTCTACTACTACCAACCACTCTGAGAAGTTCACAGTAGAAGGTCGACAAAAATGGGGAAAACAGTTAAACAAAATGCAAAATCATTTTTAAAAAATCACACTTACTGGTCTGATAGAGAAGGAGGGAACTCCAATAACTATTGTCCTCAGACATCTTTCAAGCTTGGAACTGATCCCATCATTGAGGTGTATCTCCTTTCAGTCAGACAACAGACAGGCCTATAAAATGAACAACAATACTTGT